CTCTCTCTTTTTGTCTTTGGGCTTGGTCCCTACCAGCCCTGGAAGGTTTTAGGTAGTTATTATTGGGTGGCCCCAGGGCCCGGGTGGGGTTGGTACCAGTAAGGCAGAGAGATCCTGGGAAAGGGGGACGGGGATGGGCCGGGGGAAGACCGGTAGGAACATTGGATTTCCCCCCCCCCCCCCTGCCTGCAGGCCGATGGCTGGGATGATGAGGAGGGGGGGGGGGGAGAGGGCCTCGGGATGGGATGGGGCATCGAATGCGCGACCAGCGAAATCTTGCTCGCAGCCGTGGAGGTTGTTGTTGGCGAGTCTGGCTGGCTGGCTGTCTGGCTAGGTCGTTGGCTGGCTGGTTGGCTGCACAAGCTCTCTGGTGAGCCAGCGTCTGTTCTGCTGCCCAGGAAACCTTTTTCTTTGTCTTTCCTTTCTCTGGGCCTCTCCAGGGAATAACTCCACTCCACCCTAAGTCCTTACCTAGTCAACCTGATGATGCCCTGTCTATGCCTTTGCAGGCATACTCGACCACCACGCCGCCACCACCGCTGTTGATCCATCTCATCTCACAGCCTCGCTACGGCCAACGCAAGACACGACCACGACGACCGGTTGCCTAGGTACTCTTCTAAACGCCGCCGTCTCTTTTTTTTTCCAGACAATTGCACGCTCTGCTTTTCTCTGCCAGCCAGCCAGCCAGCCTGCCTGCCTGCCTGCCTGCTTGCCTGCCTGTCTGTCTCCTCCCTCCCCTCTGGCTTCAAAAGTAGTTGCGGTAGTGGTAGCGGTAGCGGTAGCGGTAGTGGCGGTAGGTAGTAGTCCTGGTCGTGTGTTGGACCGCACCAACCTTTCACAATACAGCGTAAACGGTAGACGGTACACACGATACCTAGACACCATCTCCTTCTGTTGCTGCTTTTTCTCTGCTAGAGTACCCGTACCCGTACCAGCAAGCCAACGCTCCACAAGTTGAGCCCCCTCGACGACCCAGCGTCAGCCAGCGAGCCAGCCAGCCTCGTCCTCGACAGTCCCTTCTTCAGCTGCTTCCTACCTTGCCTGCCTGCCTGCCTGCCCGTCCGCCTGTCTAAACCGCCTGGGTTGCTGTGCTGCATCGCCCGCCCGCCCCGTCCGCCCGCCCGTCTGCCCACTCTCCCTCCCAGAACTCGCAGGCTCGTTCGTAGGTAGCCAGCCGTGCCGACTCCCACCAACGCCCGCTTCCAAACAACCACGCCGCTGCACGACACCACACACAGCCAGACAAAGACAAGTCTCTTCGTCCCCCACTTCCTCGCCTACCGCCTCCCTTTTCCCCTCCCCCGCCCCTGGGTCCAATGGCGGCTCTCAAGGGCGACCCTGCGCCTCGCGATGCAAGGTTAGCGCAGGTCATGCGCGAGTTCAAGGAGTTGGTGCGCAACTTCGAGGCGGGGCTGCTGAGTTCACTGGCCGACCAAGGCCAGGTCCATGGTTCGCCGCACACACAAGATGCTGAGCAAATTCGCCGTCAGGCCTGTCGACTGGCCATCACCGACCTCAGCAACCGCTATACCCCCAAGTACATCCGCCGCTCGCTCAACGCCGCTGAGTCTGCAGGCAAGCGCCTCGAGGAGCATTTGAGTAGCCTATCGCTCGACAGCAGCCGCCGCGACATCGCCCACGCCCATGCCAACAACGACAATGACGATGACGATGAAAGCGACAACAACGAGGACAACCTGGCTGGCCTACACAATGGCTACTTCCGCCTATACTCGACTGAGCTTTTTGACCTGCTGGGCCAGCCCGCCGAATTGCGCTTTGGCACTTTGCGCTTCCACAGGCATCGCACCTCCCCTCTCGACGCCGCCGCCGCCGCCGCCGCCATTGCCTCGCCGCACCAGCACGACACTGCCCAATCGCCCTGGGTCAACATCGAACTCGCACTGAATAACTCTTTCTACGTCGCCGATTCCATGGAGACGCTGCCCTATCACACCTTCCGCCTGCCGTCGGCCCCCTCGCTACAAAACCGTGGCATCCTCAGCAGAAAGCCTGAAGATCAAGGTGCCTTCCCTGCCTACGACTCGTGGCTTCTCTTCACTTTCCTCGGTAATGGCTGCATAAAGCTCGAAGTTCCCATCGAAATGTGCGCCGACGTCTACGGTGGTGCACTCACAGGTCGCGAGAACCACGAGGTGCTGTTCTGGGGCTTCTTTGTCGACGACGATGATGCCAATGGTGACGTCCCTGTTGCCTCGGACTAGCTCGAGCTCCCCACATGGACGGGAATATTTCGTTTGTTCTTTAGTGTGTTCTGCTGGAGTTGTCAACGGAAACGGTTAACAGGAGCTAGAAACAGCTTCAGGCTTGGGCATATTGGGGAGTTGGGGCGCACATTGCAATCACATTGGTCTGAATGGGCAAAGATGGCTTCGCTATGCTTCACCCGCCGCTTGACCAAGGTGAATTCGGGGTCATTTGCTTTTATAACGAACTTGATGATTCTCATGGAACCTTTTCTTCTGCACTTCAGCTTTCACCAACACTTCATATTCCAGTATGCTGGGGTATTGGGAACATGACACCGCCGCTGCAGTCTGCTAGCATGCATGTATTTTCCTTTGTTCCCCAGGGCTCTGGGCTTCACTGGTTCACATCCTTCTTTCTTTCAGCACTTCACTTTGGACCGACCTACGTTACATATTCAATCATCACCTTTGTATAGCATGGAACTACTGGCTCTCATTCCCCAAGAAAAAGTACAGGATATAAGCAATGTTGGGTAGACGGTAGCGTACGTTAGATAATGACATGTTCCAACCCTCGCATTCCGGGAACGCATGCATGCATGTAGAGCGTAGTGCCGGTAATGGATTTGCTAGTAGAAAGGTAATGCGCCGGCTCTACAACCAATCAGGCTTAGCGGAGAAAGATGCCTTAGCCGAAGTTTTCCCGCACAAGTTTCTCCTCACCACTGGCAACTGCCTGCCTACCTACTGCTACGGCAACTGGAAAACTTGATGCTGCATGCGATAACAGTTGATCCAATTTCCACCCGCAATAAACATCCACAAGCATACTTCAAATTGTAGCTTGAATCCTCTACAAACGCGATACAGAAAAGACACAATCTTACCCAGATAAACGTGATCCACAACCATGTCTTCGTCCACCACCATGGCGAAACCGACACCAACACAAACACCCACACTGGAAGTCCCAATCGATCCAACACCAAGTTTCACATTCACATCCAGACAGCAAAATCAAGCTTCAGATATAAAAGATGATTCTGATTCGGACTCTGACTGCGAAGCTGAATCCAAGTCAAGTTACTCGGCACTTAACAACAACGATCCTGGTCACGACAGCAATAACAATACCAACGGCCATCCGCGCAGCAATGTACAGCTGCAAGGCAAGGCACAGGAGCCCGCTAAACGGACAAAAAGTAGGAAGAGGAGGGACAGAAGGAAGGTGGGCGCCCTAACAGATGGGCTAGATGGGGTACTTGGGGCTGTGTTGGGGGAGTTGGGGAGTGGCGGAGGTGAGTTGATGTTTTTTGAATATTTTATTTTTTGACTCTCGTCTGTGTTGGTAATGCTGGTGGTTGATCTCTTGGTTGCAGAGGGCTGACTGGCTGCGGTTTGTGATAGGTCAGATTGGAAGTGCGAATGTGAATGCGAATGCCAAGATAAATGCAGATGAAGAGATGGAGGTTGAGAATTTGGAGATGGGGGCGGGGAAGAAGCTGAGTAAGTTTTACTTTCTTTCATCTCAATTCAATCGAAATGAAAATGAACGACGCCTCACCTTTCCCCTCCCCAACAAACTCACATAAACCCATCCACCCCGCCCCCCCCTCCCCATATCTCAAAACCACCCTGCAAACTCACCACCCCTCCTTCCCTCCTCCTTACTTCCCCCCAATACTCACACTAAACCAAACAAACGCACACGCCAAAACCTCCTCAAAATGGAACACCGTCGCCGACAAAAACTAGCCACCAAGCGGCGCGAAATAGCCATAGCATCACCCCACCACATACAAACTCCAACGCCCAAGACGCCGCTAGATGCCAAGAAGAAGGCCACAGATGCAAGGCGAGCGCGCAAGGAGAGGGCGCGGAGGGCGCGGAAAGAGGGTGAAGTGGAGAGGATGGATTTGGGGTAGGGTAGGGGGGCGGGGAAGGG